CTCCCACGGGTGGGGCCACGGGCCTCCCCGCTGCCCGAGTGGCGCGGCGCTCTGCTGCCACCCCGTGGCGACGTGGCGCATAGCCTCACCCGTTGTGGTCTGAGGCTTCCCCGGGCTCTTCCTGCTCCTAGGGCTGGCGGGCAGCTTCCCATCTGACTTTTGGTCTGGGCTTCTGCGGGGAGCCCAAGGGCGGGCATGTGATGAGCTCCATGCACTGGAATGCGGGACTCTGTAGGCGGGTCACCCAGGCTCAGGCTTAGAGCCAGCACCTAGTTCAGGTAGACTCGGAAGGCGTCTGGGCAGCTGAATAAACTCAGCCACCTGGTCTCGCACCTCCAAGCCCCCTTACCCTGCAGCCTCCAGGTGTTGCTCTTGCATGGGAGTTTCTAGCTGAAGCTCCCCCGGGATTCGGAGGTGTAAGACCTACTTGCAGGAAGGGTCCTAGGGGCCCGGCCATGTGGCCCACAGCGGTGCTGCTTCCTCTGCCTCCACCTCCTGTCAGGACACGGCTGGTGGTCTCTGGGGACCCAGGACTTTGAGTATTTAACTTATTTATTTGGCAAAGGAGAAGGGAAAGATCCATTCCCAGCTCTTCTGTGTTGGTGCCTAGCAGGTGGGTAGAATGAGAGCCTCCATAACTGGGTCCCCAAGAGGCTGATCTTTGCTAGAATCCTGTTCTCCTGGGGTGACAGGTGTGGCCCCCCAAAACTGCCTAGACCAGGACCTTGGGAGCTCTACTCACCTGAGGTGACAGCCCAGATGTGCTTGCCCAGAGCTGGGAGGTTGAGGGGAGGCAGAGGGGACTCCGAGTGTCACGCCCCTAATCTCTTGTCTCCTGCCCCGGCCGGATGCCCCTGGCTCCCCTCTGCCCCTGTAGGGCTGGTGAAGACGCTGCCCTTCCACCCCCCACCCCACCCCCGCAGCTGCAGCCTGACTGGGCGCATCGCAGGACCAGAAGCACAAGTGTGGTCCCTTGAGCCTTTGACCGTTTCCGTCCCGGGGCGGCTGTGCTTGGGAATCCACCCCGACTCAGGAACACCCCTGCCCGAGGCGAGGAGCTCTCAGCGCTCTCGCTCAGGGTTTAAGTGCCGTTTGCAATAATGTTATGTCTTATTTATTTAGCGGAGTAAATATTTTATACTGTTTGTGAGCAATCAGAGTATAATGTTTATGGTGAGGAAATTAAAGGCTTCTTATATGTTTAATTGCAAGTGTTTGTCTTTTCTAAGGGGGGAGAACCAGCTCTCCCTCCAATCATCTTCAACTCCCTGCTCCTGGGGACCTTAACTCCTTAACTTTCGGTAACTTCAGTTCCCAGATTTTACCAGCAGATGGAGCCCTGGCACGGCACCCTTCGTCGGTGACTGTGGGGATGGGGACTGGACAAAGGGACAGGAAGAATTCCAGGTGCTGAAGAACAGGGATGTTTTCTTTGGTACCAGAGATCGAACTCAGATCATTGCGCTTGCAAGGCAGGAGCCAGAACCACTGAGCTAAGTCCCCGGTCCGGGGATGTTTTCTCTTTCCGAGGGTTCGCGGGAGAAGGTGGCGCAGACTCCCATCATCCCGCACAGCGGAGGGGAAGGCGCCTTGCCGGGCTGGGCGGAGCTTTCAGCACCACGTGCCCAGCCCCTCCCTGCCTTGTCATCTCCCGATTTCTCCAACCTTCGCAGGCCTTCGGTTCATTCCTGTCCCTTAAATTCTGGCCTGGGCTCTTTTTGATAACGAGGAAATAATCAAACTCCCCACCTGTCAGGTGTCAGAGATGCCCAGTATGTGTTCCTCAGAATCAGAGAATTAATTGTAAGGAACAGCAGAGGTTAAGAGCAGGAACTATTTTTTGAGAGAGAGAGAGTGCTCCTGAGGGACAGGAAGGGACCTGAAAGCGGGTTACGAATGAGCAGCTTCTCAAAGGAAGTTTGACAGAGCAAAATCACAAGGTGGGTACGACGTGGTTCAAAACCATGATCAACCAGTACGATTACAAGTCTAGCCGCTCGGGTAATACTGAGCCAACGCAGAAGCGGGTCACCGAGCGGGTGTGCACGGCAAGAACAAGGACCTTCTTGGAAGGGATGGACCGGGAGTGTTCAGCTCAGCCACCGGGTGACTGGAGTCTATCTGGGCTTTGCTGGGCCGGGTGATACCGGTTACCTTGTCCTCGGGGAGCCGCGAGGCCTGGTCACGCCGTCTTTATCTTGAGGCCTGGCCGTCAGGAGATGCACCTCTGGTCACCGTTGTGATGTGTTCCCACCCCGGCACCGCCTTCCTCAGTGCCCAGCCCTGTCCGACTGCCTAGAATATTTCTACCAAACCCAGCCATCTATAACAATGTGACTCTTTAAAGCTATTCTATATATTATTTAACTTTTATGAAATTTCAAACACACTGTAATGAGATTGCTATCACGAGCCCGGTTTTACAGTGAATTAACATGCTACCGCTTTTTTTCGGTTTACCTATTTCCTCCCTCCTCCCCCACTGCTTCCTGCACCCCGCCTGCTTTGGGTATTTTTAAAGCAAGTGCCAAACAACTGCATGTCTCCTATAAATGCTAAAGTGTCTCTCAAAGAAACGAGTTATAACACCATGGTATCCAACAAAATGTACAACAATCAATTATTCAGTCCATGTAGTTTTCCCCAGTTGACAAAAAAAAAATTTTTTTTTTTACTCTTAGTGTCTTAGTGTCATTCAGGACCCAAATGAGATAGACAAACTATCTTTGGTTGCTGTGTCTCTAAGATTCTCGTAAGTTCCTAACCACCCCACCCCCACCCCTTGAACCCAGGACCTTGCACCTGCTCTCCCTTGAGCTCCACTCCTGCCCCACAGCCCCAGGCTACCCCTTCTTCTTTTTCATGCCATTCATTTGTGAGCATTTTCCCCACAGAGTTAAGCACACCCTGTATTTGGCAGGCTGTTCCCGCGGTGTTTGGGTTTGTTTTGTCTTGGTACCAAGGGCGCTGTGCCCCTGAGCTGGATCTCAGCTGGTTTAGTCCTTGGTTTATCTGGGACGCGTCCTTGCTCAGGCCCCAGCCTGGATTCAGATTTGCGATCCTCCTGCTGTGAGCTTTCCTGACTGGGATCCCAGGCCTGTGCCACCACACGCAGCTTACCTGCCTTGCTCTGCACTCTGCTGCAGTTGAGAAGTCCTGCTGGTCTTGCTGCTAACTAATCACAACACTGCGAAGTGCAATTTAAGATTTCTTTGTGGTCGACTCTGTCCTTAGGATATCTCCGATTAGGGATGGTTCATCCATGCTGTTTTAGATTTTTTTCTTTTATTATGCATAGCTTTTTGTTGTTAATTAGAGACGAGATTGCACTAGTTGCCCAGAGTGGCCTCAAGCTTGCCGCACTCCTCCTGCCTCAGCCTCCCGAACGCTGGGATCACAGGCGTGCACCACCACGCCTAGCTGGTAATGTTTAATACATACAGGAGCAGAGGAGGATGGGACACCCAACGGCAGTGACTCGGAAGTAGAGCTCAGGCATCAGATTTCAATAGGAAGTTTTCCAGAATGTGACTTTGAAAGACAAAGGCATTCTAAAACGCCACGTTTCCACTACCACATTTAAAAACATTTCCTTAAAATAAGCAAATGTCCAGTTGCTGTGTTTTCCTATCTTGTAGTGTGTTTGTTTTGGTATTGTTTTTTCTAGATTGAGACCAAAGTAAATTTTATACTTTGCAGTAGGTTGATGTCCCTTACATCTCCTAATCCATAGGTACTGCCTCGATTTTAGTTTTGTTTTTTTCTTTAAATTTGTTAAATAAACTACATGGCTTATCCTGTAGACCATCTGCATTCCTTCCTATGGTCATAGTTTATGTTTTTATTGTCCTTGTGTTTTCTGTAAATTGGTATTTAAAGTCATGGACCAAATCAGATTGCATTTGTTTTTGCAAAAACACTTAATAGAGCTGTGTGCCTCCTTAATAAGGAGACATGTATTGTCTGGTGTTTGTTTGCAATGACTTAATGCATGTTTTGCTTTTCTTTTCTTTCTGAAATGGGGTTTCACTGTGTTGCTCAGGCTGTCATTGGTCTTGGCCTCTAATTCCTGTGCTCAAGCCATCCTCCTGCCTCAGCCTCCTGAGTGCCTGGGACTGCAGGTGCCCATCTCTGTGCCTGGCTCATGTCTGTGTTGTTGTTGTTGGTGGTGGTGGTGATGTGTGTTTTGCTTTGTTTTTTGAGGTGCTGGGGATCGAACCCAGCAAGGTCTTGTGTGTAATCAGCATGAGTTTTTCCACGGAGCTGCGTCCTTAGCTCTTTGTTTTTGATGTTGCTAATCATTGCTGTTTTTACTTATATTCATTACAAATCCATTATCCCTTATCCAAAATGCATGGGACCATAGTGTTTCTGATTTCAGAGTTTGGAATATTGGTATACCTGTTACAAGATGCCTGGAGGGTGGAACCCAAGTTTAAACACAAAATCTATTCATGTTTTATATACATCTTATACATGTAGTCTGCAGTTAACTTATGCAATGTTGTAAATAAGCTTTTGCATCAAACAAATATTTCATGGTGTGGAATTTTTAATTTAATTTCGGATTTTTGGGTTAGGGATGATCAACCTGTATTTCCTACAAAACAATGATGTTCTATCATTTCTTTAAGAAATGCCTGACTTTTTCCATCACTAGTTTAAAGAAAAAAATTGATTCCCTAGATTCCCTCATCATGACTGTTTTTTCCCTTTGGGGTCATTATGTAGCCATGGACTTAAATATATTTGTTGTGTCTCAGTCCTTTGCAGTGGTTACCATTATTCAAATTCAAATTACCTACGAGGTGTGGTGGCGTACACCTGTAATCCCAGCACTCGGGTGGCTGAGGCAGGAGGATCACCAGGAGTTCACGGCCGGCCTGGGCTACAAAGCAAGACCCTGTCTCAAAAAACAAAAGAAACAAAACAAAACAACCCTTTAAATTATCTCTATCTCTGGCTGGCGGGAGCTTCTTCAAGTTGATTTCAGAACCTTTTTGACACCACCTTCCATGGTCTTTGCTACCTTCTCTGCTTCCTGTCACGAGCACGAGTTCAGGCTCACTTTGTAAAGCTGAAGTGAGCTCATTTTTCTAAAGGGCTTTGCTTGCTCTCCCTGGAAACGGAGACCCTCAAAACCTCGGGCATCGAGGGTGTTGTGATTGACTGAGGGCTTTTTCAACAGACAAAACTAGAAGCAGTTTTGAAATGTAAACTGTGGGTTTGCAGTGGAACTGCCAGTGCACGCTCGGGCTGGGGATCTGGTTTCTCTACATGTGTCCTCTCTACGTGTTTTCTCCCACATCGACACCGACGGCCTGGCCCGGAGGCTCCGGTGTGCATGTGTGCACGCGCTAGGGTGATGCGGGAAGTAAGCGAGCAGACAGTGAGACGGTAACTACCACCTGCCTCAGCTCTCAGGGAGCTCACTTCTCACTGTCCAAACCTGGTCAGGCCAGAGCCCCAATGGGACACACAGAGGATGCTGGGAGGCCTCAGGAACAGGAAGCTGGGGACACATTTCCAGCACACGGGTGGTAGTTGGGGTCAGCTAACCCGGCACCCCAGGTAATTGGAGCCTGCATCTTGGGGTGGGGCTCGATGGCACAGCATTTGCCTAGCAGGCTGAAGCATTACTTGAGCCCTCTCCAGTCTGGTTTTTGCCCTCAAGGAGTATGGCATCTGGGTAGAAAGGTAACCCCTGTGCTCAGGAGGCTGAGGCAGGAGGATCGCAGTAAGTTGAAGCCAGACTGAGCTACACAGGGCAGTGTGAACTGCATAAGCAGGGGCACTCAAAAAGCTTGTCTCAACCTGCACAGTCCTTCTCCCCACCCCCGTGCTGTCTCTCAAGACTGGAATGGAGCCTTGGTCCTGGCTTGGTCTTGGAGGCTGCAGAAAGGACTGGGCCAGGGCTCGGGTGGGCGGTATCCCATTCTGTGTCCGTTCCCAGATCTTCCCCTCTGGCCCCTGAAGCACCAGTTACAGTGAGATGGGCCATCTGATCTCCATTATTTCTTTTGCTGCTGGGCAAAAAGCCCTGGTTTGCAGGGTCAGATTTGGTTACAGCCGTCTGACGGTCAAGGGCTGCTTAGAGCCGGGACTTTGACATCCAGCGCTGTCACTGGATCTCCACACTCACCCGTGGCGGCAGCTTGACAGCGCTGGCGACAGAATCGCCTGACCTCAGCCTTCCCCGGACTCCAA